CCACACAGAGCTCATCCCTAGCTTCTTTCCTTATTTTCATTGACAATATTTACAAATTGGGAAATTGGCCATCAAAGTCTAGATTGTTGGCTTCTTTTGGCAAACACAGATGCCATAACAAGCCTTGGGCTTGCAGTTGGGTGTGAGATTTCAGGCTGGATCTGAGATGTTACTGGCGCACAGGCAGGGCCACTCTCCCCAGCAGGCCATGGTGGTCAGCCGTATTCACCTTCTTAATGTCTGCATGAATTTGGGTTAAGGCAGTGGAATGAGGACTTGCATCTCCTTAGGGGCAGAGAAACATTGCTGACTGACTAGGTTTTTTTTTTAAATTATATTATTGTTGTACTGGGGGTATGTTGTGACATTTATACAAGTCCTTACAATATATTCACCCCCTCCATCATTCTCCTTTATCCCCTCTCCCCCCATTCCTAGAATAGTTTCAACATGGCTCATTTTTCCATTTCATGGATGAGTACATAATAATTCCACTGATTTAGCTGACTGGATATAGTGACTGTGAATTCCTGTAGGTTCCCTAAGATAAGTATATAATAGGAAGCTTTGTAACTAAATATCCTTTGCTCTAATTACCCCAGGTTAAGATACCCCACAATCCAGGGCACCCAAAAATATCCATCTGACACAGTAGTCCATGGTCAGAGATGAAGATTGTATAGTTGGCCCCGTTTATTTACAGATGAAAAATAATTAAAAAATTATTCTGCACTGAATATGTAAAGACTTTTTTGTCACTATTCCCTGAACAACACAGTCTAGCACTTAGTGTAGCATTCATACTGTATTAGGTGCTGTACATGATCTAGAGATGATTTCATGTATGCAGGAGGAGTGCATAGGTTATGTGCAAACATGTCATTTACGCAAGACCTAAGCATCCTGATTTAGTATCTAGGGACCGGACCTGGAACTATTGTTCCACAGATAGGGCAAGTGGATGGTGTACTTATGTGGTTTAGGGAGACAGGGTGGGAGGAACTTCTTTCTTCACAAGTTCCCTAGAATCCAGCTTTTTTCCCTGGGAATTTGGTTCTGCTTTGTTTTGAGAGCTGTTTTTTTGGCTTTACAATAATACTCATTTACTTGAGGCTTTTTTTTATCCATATGAGTGATCATGCTCACCAAGCAGGCCTACATAGAGATTCTGGAAGTCATGCTGGGGTGTATGCAGGGAGTAACAAAGCAAAGGATTAGCTTGGGAGTATGCCTTTTGCATGCAAACCAACCAATCCATGTCCAATAAATGTGGGCACTTAATGCTTTAGGCCAGTATTTCCTGCCATAACCATCCCAGGGTGAGTCACCCCACAATGGAGGGCAACACATCCGCCCCAAAATCTGCTGGAAATATTCAGTCTGACAGTCCTAGACCTGACTCATGGTTTGTGCTGGACATGGTGGTGGCTCACTTGCGTAAGTAAGATACAGCCATTCTGCCTCAGCATTTGCAAACTCCTGTCTATGGCATGCAGTCACTCAGGGCCAGGCACAGCTGAGAGCCACCATTCTGTACAATGCTGAGTCACTTAGAGCGGCATAGCCTCATCTGCACAGTGATCCTCTCGGATATCCATGTTACAAAGCACTTACTGGACAGAAGTGTACAGCCAGAGCAGAGGAAGTGCTGTTCCTCTTTTAAACTTGTATTTATGATTGTAAGGAATTGTCCTTCTTGCTAAGCATATTTTAATGTTAGTACTAATTGCCATAGACACACTCTTTTCCCCAGACACTGCAAACCTCCATCCTTTTATTATGACAACAAAACAATGGCCCCAGTTCTGTCAGAATTAAATTACTGATGTCAAAATCCTCTTGTTGGGGCTTTGAGTAGGATCTGGCACTACTAGAGTGGTGACACAGAAATGCCTGAACTAGGTATTTGGGCAGGACAGGGAGAAAAGGGGAGGAGGGGAGGAGGAGTGTCTATCATAGCAGAAAAAATATTATATTGTTTCGGGGAAAATGGTTCATAGAAAACAAAGCAGTTTATATTTTTCTTGCATGTTCACACTTCTTTTTCTGCACATGTAAATGGACTATCATACTTTCAGGTTAAACCAACCACTGAACTCACTTTTCAGATGCTTCTGTATGAGACTGTGGGTGAAAACAGATCTTGTGGCGCTTCATAAACATGAATTTGATACAGCTAGAAGTGACGTGATGTGGTGGCAGAAACCCACCAACCTCAACCACTGCCTCACAGATATCAGCAGTTCTCTGACTGTGCGCCTCCCATGGCCTCTCTGACTTCTGACAGCCACACCAGCTTCATCAGATAAAAAGAGAAAAAAGAATTTAAAACTATTTTATTTCTGCTAGCCCAGGACCCGTTTAGTGGTTCTGGGGAGTTTTAAGTGGTGACTGAACCAGTGTTTACTGACTGTCATTAATACTGAATTGTGTCCAGAAACTGTTATTCCATGGGTTTTTGGTGTCTAAGACAAAGTAAGATTACCAAAAGAGTCCAGGGTTCTCATTAGTAGAATGATTTAGCTCATCTTTTTCATATCGACAAGATTTCTGTTGCCTCTGCTAAATAAAGGTCCAAAATTCACATCTCTTCTCACTACTAGAAGTTATATTTTTCCATATTTTTTGAAGAAAAGGCCTGTAGTATGAGAAATGGTGACAAAGAGTTAAAAGAATGCCAGGCACAGTGACTCATGCCTATAATCCCAGCTACTCTGGAAGCAGGAATCTGGAGGATTGTAGTTCAAGACCTGCCTGAGCAAAAAATTCACAAGACCTCATCTTGACCAATAGCTTGGTGTTGTGATATGTGTCTGTCCACCCCCAGCTACATGGGAACTATAAATAGAGGGATCATGGTGCTGCCCAGCCTAGGCAAAAAGACCCTATTCCAAAAACAACTAAAGCAAAAAGAGGTGGAGGCATGGCTCAAGTGGTAGAGCCTAATAATCTCAAGACCCTGAGTTCAGCCCCTAGTATCACACCCAAGAGAGTTAAAATGACCAAATTTGCAGCTTCTCTCAGCTATGTGTATTTCAGTCTAAAATGATCACTGCATTTGTAGAATGTAGTCATTCTGTATTTTCATCAACAAGAAATGCTGTTGTCATAATATATTTCTAAAATGTGAATGGAACAGATAATATCCAATGAATTGTCTTTAAAACTTGACCTTTCTATAACAAACAGGTACTTTCATTGGCTTCTAAAAGGACCCAAGCCCACCTAGAAGAAATTTTTGTTCATAAATATTTTGTAAGTAGTGTGTGTATATGTGTGTGTGTGCGTGAGAGAGAGAGAGAGATTGAGAGAGAGAAGAGCGACAACCCATGAAGCAACACTAGTAGAAGTGGAGCACTCACCCTCTTGTTTGGAAGTCCCACTTGACCCCTCACTGATAATTTCCACCACATCTATCAGTCTCTTGATTTCTGTCATCATTGATGTATTTCACAATTTTTTTGCCTTCATATAAGTGGAGTTGTGCAGTAGGTACATTTCTGCACCTGATTCATGCCTGTGTTGCTGTGCGTCTTAACTTTCACTGAAGCATGGTATGCCATGGTACAAATACCTTGTCATTTGTCCATCCATTCAAACACTAATGCTGTCCATCCGTCACCCATCCATCTATGTGTCTGTCTCCCTGTCTCGTCTCTCTCTCTCTCTCATTTATCTTATACTGGATAGGACTTCCAGTGCAATATTGGGTACAAAATTGTGACAATGAACAACCTTTGCTCAGCCATTCTCAAGTTCAGAGGGAAAGTATCCATTTCACATTTAGGTATGATTTTTTTTCATAGTCTTTTTTTTTGTAAATAGTTTCTACCACTTTAAAAACAATTACTTTTTAAATTAATATTCAAATCAGAGCCTGGTGGTGCTAGGCAGACTCTACCACGTGAGCCACACCCCAAACCGTTTTTGCTTTACTTATTTTTCAGATAGGATCTGATGTTCATAGCTGCTTTTCTACAGCCTCAGTAAAGAGGGTATTTTTTTGCTTCTTCCTTCCTTCCTTTTCTCTTTTTATCTTCTCTCTCTCATCTTCCTTTTGTTTTTACCTTGCTGTTATTTCTTCACAAACATGAGAAGGTTCTATGATTTGAAGGGTATGTGCTATTATTTTTTTTAATGAGCACTAAGAGATGCTGGTGCCTGTCTGAGGAAATGAAAACTGACAATATGAAAGGGAAAGGGTAGTGTGGTATTATAACCAGTGACAGGACCGTGTAGTCGTTCAGGAGTTTGACTGAACTAGGGCCAATGAAGCAGGAAGACAAGCCGTCTGTCCTCATTCTGGGAAGTTTCTTTCCAAGTGTTCTTCACCTGTGCCTGTCGCTGCCATGTGCCCCTGGCTGTCAGGACTGGCAGTGTCATGGAGGAGAAGTGTGAACACCTGGATGCTGGTTAGCACCACAGAATTTCTGTAGGTTTTTTGGCTTCACTGGGGTTTGAACTCAGGGCCTCACACTTGCTAGCAGCATTATAGAACTTAATCCACTGAGTATGAAGCCTGCCCTATGCATTAGGGAAACGAAAGATGCCTGTGTAACTTCAGGATTACTTTAGGAGATGCTGTTACTAGCCCAGGTATGCAATGGATACTTGGCATTATCAGAGGTGTGGTGGGGGAATAAACCCACAGTAAAACTCTTGGAATGGGAGTGAATAACATAAGTAAATCAGGCGCTATTCTGGGTAAAGGTGTGGGCCAGGGTAAGTACACTGAGGCATTTGGTAATTTAAAGTCGGAATAGTTAACTGAATTAAAATGAAATCATTTATTGGGAAGGGCAAGGGATTAGTTCCAGTGGCATTCTGCTTTATAGCATTTGCTTTAGTAAGAAAGGCGGTGGAGGGACATTGTTCTAACTGTGTTGGAAAAGAAAAAGTTCATGACTGCAATTCTCACGCAGCTGTCCTTTGTCTCAGTCACAGAAGCCCAGAGAAGACAATGAAGTGAGCTTTCTGCCTCCACAGAGCCACAGGCCCACCTTCAGGATCCGAGTCAGCATGTCCTGTTAAGGCACAAGCAAAGGGGTCACCTGTGGTGGCCGTGCTGCCCATGGTTTCCATGGTGACCATGATCCTGTGTCCCAGTCACTGTGTCAGCTTGCAAGAGAATGTGCTAGTCTGTTGAGAATGTATAATTTTTGGTTTGAATTGAACTAAAGTGATATTTTGATTTACTTAAAAAGAGTAGCTAACTTTCCTACTTGAAGTGTTTAAACGGGTAATTTATTTTCTGGACATTGAATCAGAATTTTTTTAGGTTTTATTGCTTCTATAGGGTTGCATGCTTGTTTTCAACTGACACTTTATGAACTATTTTTCTTGCTAACATTTTCCAAAACTCTTACAGAAGCATTTTTGCCAAAAATGTTTCAACCTTTAAAGGTGCAAGGTAGAACGTTCCAAAAGACACTAAGAGTGATCGTGAGGTTCTAAAACTTCAGGATTTGGGGCTTCATGTCATGCTATTGTGTGTTTGAGTTGGAATCACACATCAGAGGCAGAAAAATGGAGGGAGCTCAAGTGTGCATGTCTAAAACCATGTTCACCTTATCACTTGTGATAAGGTGGTGATTCTCATTGTGATGTGTCTTTCATTTGGGTCCTGAGTGTCCACATTCACTGGGGACATTGAGAGGAACGTCTCTCCTGCATCTGCCCTGCCTCAATTCCAGGTATAACTGATACTTTCTTCACTCCCCCCACTTCACCACGAAGTTGCTTGGGTGTTACGTACCATTTAGTGGATTGAGGAAATCATGAAGTATTTTCACGTGCACACAAATGTTCCTGTGCAGTTTCAGGGCACCCAGTTCTGTGCTTCTCTTGTGAGAAGAAAGCTCACTTTTTAAAAAAATTTCTTTTATTCATATGTGTGTACAGTGTTTGGGTCATTTCTCCCCCCTTTCCCCCGCCCCCTCCCTCTCCCTTCCTATCCCCTCACTACCAGGCAGAAACTATTTTTCCCTTATCTCTAATTTTGTTGAAGAAGAGTATAAGCAATAATAGGAAGGATAAGGGGTTTAGGTAGTTGAGATAAGGATAGCTATACAGGAAGTTTACTCGCATTGAAAGCTCACGTTCTGATCTGGTGTACAGTTTATGTTCATTAAGAAGACCCTGTGCAAGGGCAAAATAGTTTCTGCCTGGTAGCAAGGGGGTAGGGGAGGAGAAGGTGGGGGCAGAGGGTAAGGGAGGGATGGGGGGAAGGGGGGAGAAATGACCGAAACATATGCACATATGCACATATGAATAAAAGAAAAAAGAAAAAGAAAAAAAAGAAGACCCTGTGCATTAAGTAAAAGTCCATACACCTGTTGTGAGGCTTACAGGAGAGAGAGGAACAATACACATCATATAATATAATGTCAGAGAAGTGCAACCCAGAAGGAGCCAAGTAGTATGAAAAGATGAGAAGTGACAGGGCTTGCTCTGAATAAAAACATGTTAAAATAAAACAAGTGCAAAAGGACGTCTCCATGATTTTAAACTACAATTTGTATTTATTATGATTTCTTCATATTAACAATCTCAGAAACTTACATGATGCAGGAAGTGCAACTAAATGTGATAAGCTCTTTCTATAGTTCTTAAAGGAATTAAAAGGAATGATGTGTAAAATTGACGCACTTTCTTCGGAAATTCAGAAGTAGAAAGATCTTTTTTTAGGTTTTGTTCCGTAACTTTTAATGGAAAATGAAGCAAACTCTTGCTACAGGTCTTGTTAGCTTCTTCTCTTGGCTTCCATGGAGTTGGAGATTGTTTAAAAGCTGGAAAAGACCAGGCTTCCACAAATGGAGCCAATGGAAACTGTGGCAAAGCAACAGCCTTCCCACAGCCATTCTGAGAAGGCAAGAAGTTAGATTTTATTTAACACAGATGTGCCATTGCTAATTTTCCATCTCAAGATGTACTTGGTCGTGGCCTTGCACACACACACATACACAGATGTACCTAACCCAGCCGACCACAGACGCTGACCACAGAGCCCTTGTGTGGCTGTGGAGACCATGTTGCCTTTGGCAGTGGCAGAGGCTGCTGTGAAATCCAGGAGAAAATTCTTCTTGGCTCCTTTGACCACAGAATGGAATCTGCAAGTTACATTTGTCTGCAGCTTCAGGAAGTGGAGTGTGCTCTCTTGTTACACAGCCTTTGAAATATTACCAGCGTTTTCACCCTTTAACGCCATGCCGCAGAGTAAGCCCTCCGTGACGGAAACGGAAGCAGGGAAGTGCAAGCCACCTGGGTGACAGCTAGGGAAGAAGTAGCGTTTCCATGTAGAAATGAGCTAGGTACGGAATTGTGCGGCCGTGGGGTCCGGAGAGAGGAAGAGTTTGATATGCACTATTCTTTTCTATTTTCCGTTCCATGAAAGACACATGGAAACAAACATTTTCTTTTATGGCAAATATGTCTTGTATTTAACTATATTGGTAATATTATTTTAACAAAGATAATTAGTCAATTTTTAACAGAGCTTGTAAAGGAAAGGAATTAACAAATCTTTTAAAAAATAAAAGAAAAATAATCTATGTCTCTGACTAACAACAAAGTATAGTGGCGAAGATTAACTGCCTGGGTTCAAATCCCAGTTCTACCCTTACCAGCTGTAGGACTTTAGGGAGAATGACAAAGCTTTTCTTGTTTCCTTAGCTATAAAAGGGGGGCTTATGAATGTTTGATGTTAGTTTATGCACAGACAGACAGACTTTACCCTTCTTACAAGTTAACAAGTGAGACCATTACTGCTTCCTGGATGTGGGCAGAACACAGATAGTCCAGGACAGGGACAAGGCCGTTGTTGCTGGCACAGCAAGAAGCATGAGCCTGTGGTTCCCTTGTCCTCCAAGTCCTGGGGGAGGTTTTTGAAGGGGGCTATTCAGAGGATCCAGGCTGATGCTGTGCACAAGTGGCATGTGTAGTGGCTGAGGACTGGGTTCAGAGAAGCTACCTCTTTTGTAGGAGGCAGTCAGCAGGTCTGCTCTCTGTCCCAGTGGGAGATGTTACTCCTCAGAGCTGCTTGCTGTAAAAGTAAACTTGCCATGGAGAAAGGTCTTGCCTTATTGGAGTTATTAGACAGACCTATGGGAACCCAAGAACCTGTGAGGGACTGTTTCCCCACAAAGGTGAGGTACCTACAAACAACATTGCACACAAAGTGTTCTCAGTGACACTGCTATCCCTGTATGGGCTACTACACACACTCTACAATGCAGAACTTTGAAAGCAAGCAATCATGGAATGAACTCTAAGCTGTGTGTATTGCCATGCTTAGTTTGCAATCCAAAACTAAATTTTACTTAAATAAGTAAAACTAAGTACAGAGAAATGTGTTTCATATTAACACACTTCTCAGAAATGTACTTGGAAAACCTTGAAACTTTGTTTTTGAACAGTAGCACTTATGTGCTTTGGATGCATTAATCACTTTGACAGAAGCTTAAATAAACACTGTCAGTGTGTTATCAAGCAAGGGGAATGTAAAGATGATGATCCTAAGTAACCTCACAGTGGCTTTCTGTAGGAAGCTGGAGGCTGCTACCACCACTTAGGCACAACGTTATATCTGGGTGTCTTCTGTGATAACCATGCTTAAGACTTAAGGTTTTGGAATGTTTTGGACATGGCTATATATACATAGAAATGGAAATATCAGAAAAATGTATATAATTAGAGGAGACAAGGACATATTCTCAGCAAATACTGTGAAAGGTAGCTTGGGACCCTGTGCAAGAGGAACACTAGGGAGAGTAGTAGAGGTAGGAAATGCCAGGATAAACTTGGAATGCCATGTTTTAGCCACCAGCTCTCAGGAAGGAACAGTACTAGGGAAATTTGGAGAAAAGACAGCGCAAAGCAAAGACCTTGAACTAAGAAAAACTATTTAAATGCTTTTTTTTCTGGAATGTGACTTTTAAAAAGAGAGCCTTCAAAGAAAAGGGAGAGAGTGTTCTCAAATCTTCAATGAAAAACAGAAATACTAGGAGTGACTCTAAATTCTCATTAGGACTTCATGTCAGGAGAAAAGATGGAGGTGGGGGGTAAAGAAGGCAATGTGAGGGGCCGATCATGGCAGGAGTTATGGGCCAGCGCTGTTTTGCCTCTGGCTTCAGTTCCTGCTGTGGTTAAGGTTAAGTGGCTTCTATGTGGTCTGGACTGCATTGAAGCCTACTTCAGGCTGATTCATTATTAATAACAGTCTGGATACCTTGCACTGGAATTACAAACTCCAGGAAACATGTCAGATTGAGTTTGGTCGCCTGGTGGAGCTCTGGGAGACACTTGGATGGAATGAGCAGAGCTTTTTTAAAAAGAACAGTGAGTTAGATTTCTGACAACCTGTTATATAACTGGATAAAAATACTTTTTACTGCTTCCATTTGCACAAGCAAGGTTTGATAATGATCAAACTAGAGAACTGAACATATAAACCAACTTGAAAAGCAAAAGTAAACAGTGGGACTGCATTACACTAAAAAGCTCTATACAGCAAAGGAGACAATCGAAAAAAATGAAAAGGTAGCCCACAGATTGGGAAATATTTGCAAACCGTATATTTGTATATCCAAAATATATAAGGAGCTCACAAAATTCACTAGCAAACAAAAGAAAAAAGAACAGCAAACAAACAAACTTGAGGTTATATCCATGGCTCAATGGGTTTTACTCAGTGACTTACCACTTTCTTCCAGGTTTCTCTTCATCGCCATTCTGCTTTAATTAGTTGACCCAGGGGTGACAATTAGCTTGTAGTCAGTTCTTGAAAATCATTTATAAAGCAGTATGCAGAGCACTGTTGTTAGGGTGTGAGAGTACAAGTGAAAGCCCACTACTGGGTGCCTAGGATCCCTGTGTGAGATGTTACTTATGGAGTTTGTTAACTTATCATTGGACATAGTATACTTTAAATAAATTATTTCCACTCTTGACAAATTAAAGGGTAAGCAAAACAAAGGGTAAACTGACAAACCAAAGATGCTTCCTGTATCATGAGGGCCAGCCTGAATGAGCTTAAAACACAGGTATCAGCCTGGTGTGGAGAGTATACCTGTAATCCTACCACTCAGGAGGCT